CCAGTCCCACCGCGGCGAAGGAGGCTGCGGCGACCATTCGACGATATCTCAGCAAAGAGAACTACCAGAAAGGATATGCCCAGTACAACGCCGTCATGCTCTCCCGCATCCTGACCGACAACCCGGCCAGAGCCTTCACCCAGAATTTCGATCACAAATTCGTCGCAACCGTCAAAGAGCTCCTGCGAGAAGGCAAGGACACCAGCGTTCAGCAGATACTCAGAGAAACATTGGACTATTTTGAGGTGGAAAAGGCGCCTGGAAATGACAGCCTGGGGCCGCTCATGGAGATGTGGAGGAAGGAGAAAGGAAAGCGAAATGCATTGCGCCCTCCGGTAAGCTGCGCCGTCTCTACGTCTGGGTGCTTGACAAAGACTGATCATTGTCGCAATAGCAGGCTCAAATCCCTGGCGCCTACGCCGGGCATTATCCCCAGCAACAGCATCGACGACGAGACACCCTTCCACCAGCCGAAGAGTTGGCCGGACGGATTGAAGAAGCAAAGACGACAGCTCGACTGCTAGTCCAGACCGTCCAGTCTACTCCTCAGGCAGAGTTACTGGCAAATGATCTGGTCAAAGAGTTTGCAGATCGAGCTAAAACGATGCAAAGGAGCATTCAGTCGTATTTGAACGCCCAGAATCCCGCGCCAGACCCAGACACGATGTTGACTCTGATCGAAACCAATGACCAACTGAACATAGCCATGTCCAAACATCAAAGAGCGGTCCTGCAGGCCCGCAAGGCGACTGGATTGGCGACACCAAGCCCTCAAGCGCAAACAGAGCCTCAGCAGAACCCCATGTTCACACCTCAACAGCATGTTCCAGGTCAGAATGTCTATTCCCAGACATCACAGCCTCAGTCGGTGCCGCCGGAACATGGACCGTACTCTTCCTCGCCTCCTCGTCGACAAAACACTATCCCTACACCCGTGAGTCCGCTGCGGAGGGAGGAGGAAGAGCTATATGCGCCGCCTCCGGGGCCTCCCCCAAGTAAGATGGGAGCACCACAAATTCCACCGCCGCAGACAACTCAGAATCCCTATGACTTCTCCAATGCCGCCGCTTTGTCTTCTGCCTTTGCCGCTCCCGAGCAGCCGCCTCCGGTGCCGACCCGTGTTCGTCCACAATCACACGCCTATTCATCCAGTGCCGACTACGGCGTAGCCGACAATCCTTTTGACGACGATGCATATGGATCTCCGCAGCCACAGGCGAGATCGAATGCGCTTTTTGATAGAAATCAGAACACACCCTCGCCTCATCTGCCGCAGCAACATGCTACGAACCAGTATCCACAAGAGTTGCCAAGCGATCAGCACCGTCCTGGTCCTTACAATGCAGCGTATCAACCAACACCGAGTTATGTACACCGACAAGAATCATCGGCAGAACATTTCACGATGCATGGAGGAGGTCCGACTACTGGCGCGACAGCACCAAATGGGGGTTCATCGTATCCGACGAGCGGTCCCTTTGGAAGCAACCCTGTGAGCCCCATTGATGAGACCCAGGGCGTAGGCCGGAGGATGAATGATTTACACATTTGATAGCGATTGCAAAGATGATGACACGAATGGCTTTTGGGCTAGAGAATCAGGATACAGATACCCTTGCCTGCTGAAACAGAATCTTTTATTATGTAGAATGATGCCCTGCAATTGATGCCGAAAGCACGTTATTTGGATCTTCGCTTGCGTATCAGAATCAGGCACCACAGCCGAACGTGCATGGGGATGGATGCCGGACTCTGACTTCCAGATCGATACAACCGAGTAAAACTAGTTTCCCCAATCCTTCTAGTGCCCGACATTTCGATATTATTATCTCCCAAATGTCTTTGACCATGTCCTTTTTCTCTTCCATACCCATGATAGCCCTCGATTTTCCGCTACACGCAGTGTAGTCCCCCCCTTACAACCATGACCTCGATCCAGTTCCGCCCGCCGTACACGCAGGACGAGCTCGACAAACTCTACCCCAAAGACCTCGAATTGCGCCTCGTCCAAGTCCTCCTACGTCATGGAGAACGCGCTCCCGTCTCAGCGAGATTTGGAAACGTGAGTCCATCATAGCAAATCCCCCGTACCTCTTTGCTCGAGGGGATGTTCGCGGGACACTTAGGGAGTGGTGGCATGTGCTGACCGCCGCGGGGCCACAAACCACAGGCAGGATTGCCAGCGTACTGGCCCTACTGTAATGCGGCGCAACGCCTGCGCTCCGTCGCCATGACCCCGCAAGACGTGTCCCAGTGGAACTCTCTACAATGGCGGAGAAGACTCGAGCGGTTTGGCGAGGATGATGGGCCGGTCATCGCGGCGGGACCCAAGGGACAGGTTGACGGGGTCTGGTATGAATACAAGAATCCTTTGCGGAGTTGATACAACACACCCGCACCCAAGATAAGAGCTTCCAAGACTTACTGCTGGGATACAGTCAACTAGGCGAACTCACCGACGCTGGTCGGCAATCGACGTACACGCTCGGCACGCGTCTGCGCACCCTGTACGTGGACCAGCTCCGGTTCATGCCCTCCCTCATCGCCAACGCCGACCTGATCTACCTGCGCTCGACGCCTCTTCCCCGCGCGCTGGAGTCGGTCCAGCAGACCTTCTGGGGCATGTACCCTCTGACGTCCCGCACGGCGGCGTTCCCACCACCGACGATCGTGACACGCACTCCGGCCGACGAGACGCTGTTTCCCAACGACGGCAACTGTCGAAGATTTGCGCAGTTGAGCCGGGCATTCGCCCAACGCACGGCCGACCGGTGGAACGACTCGGACGACATGAAATACCTGACGAAGCTGATGGGGAAGTGGATGCCCGAGAACAGCGACAAGAAGATCGCGGTCGACTCACACCCGCGTCTCTCGGGGATCATGGACACCATAAACTCGACGCTCGCCCACGGGCCCGAGACCCGTCTCCCCAAGGAGTTCTACGACACCCGCGCCCGCGAGATCATCGATCGCATCGGCGTGGAGGAATGGTTTTCCGGGTACAACGAGAACCGCGAGTATCGAATGCTGGGCATAGGGGGCCTGATTGGCGATATCGTGGAGCGGATGACCTCGAAGATCGAGGGCGCGGGTCTCTCGATCAACGAGATCGGAGGCGAGAACGGACAGTTGGGCATGGGTCGCGGCGGCGAGACGGGCATCAGGTTCGCGCTGAGCGGCTGTCACGACACGACGTTGGCGGGCGTCCTGACGAGTCTGGGGGCCTTTGGCGGGGAGAAATGGCCGCCCTATACGAGTCACATCGCCTTTGAGCTTTTTAGGGAGAAGGACCCTGGAGATGAGGCCAAGGGACATTCACCCGACGCAGACTTCCTCACGCCCACCACACCGGCGAGCACCGAACCCAAGAGCGAGGCCCCGACACCAGGATTCTTCGCCTCCTTCCTGGGGCTGCGATCGCCGACCAGCAATGGGAGCTTTACCGGCTCGAGAGACGCGTCATCGACTTCGTTGGCCTCGTCGTCTTCGAGCCCGCTCTCCACGCCGTCCCTGTCCCGCTCGTCCACACTCTCCCCCTCGGTGCCGCCCAAGGACCTGATCGCGCGCACCCCCCACGCGGAGCTGTCCGAGTCCCAAAAGCGCCGTCTGGACGGCTACTACGTGCGGATCCGGTACAACGACCGCGTCATGAAGATCCCGGCCTGCGCGCAGCCGGGCAACAACTACCGCGGCGACGAGTCGCTGTGCACCTTCGAGGCCTTTAAGCGCGTCGCCGACGGCTACGTGCCCAAGAACTGGAAGGTCCAGTGTGGCCAGAACATCGTCGACGGCGGCAGCAAGGGCGGCTTGGTCAGCGCGCCGGGTCTCGACCAGCCTGCCCAGTTGGCCGGGCAGATTGAGCAAGGTTCATGAGGGCGTGTAAGGCGTCTGTCTATACACACATACAATCATCCACACACACGCACACACACACAAACACACACAAGCCTCTTTATCTAGGCTTGTAGGTAGGTATGTAGGGGAATTGTGTCGTTCGGACGATTCAAGGCACCGCGCCGCAACAAAAGACGACCTACATAGACTTGGATTCAAAGCTCTTTTGGATAAGAACGAATACATAATCCTAATCAATATTAGGTATTCGACCTCTCCTTCTCCTTCTCCTTCTCCCTCTACTAATATACATTACCTGCCTCCGTATATGCGGCACGGGTCCCTATGTACGATAGAAGCCCCTGCCCGTGGGCCGTGGAGGTATACTGCCACCGATCGACTGTCTCTTCAATCAGGTGGCTCACCACAAGACCTACACAGCTAAGTGGTAGATAGGTAGGTAGGTAAGTAAGTAGGTAGATACCTAGGTGGCTATAACTAGTCCTTGGTGATTCCACGTTCTCTTCCCTCCTCTCTCCTCTCCTCTCTGTCCGATCTGTATCTCCCTGATTATTTGAGGTAGCGAACGACTCGACGCCTCTAGATCAGACCGGGCGAGGGAGTGTTGAATTGCACGAGCGATAGAGCTGAAGAGCCGAAAAGGAATGGGTAGATAAATGATAATAACGCACCTGAGAGGTCGTACTCTGATCCGAACTGCTCGTGTCTACTTTACATGGGTGCATACTGCACATTTCGTGGGTCTAAGAAACAAAGAACGCTCCCTTCTCTCCTTCTTCTCCGTTTCCTGTTCCAACATCTTCGGCCATTTTGAAGGTGCCTGTCGAACACCTAATCATTTCGTCGTGATGATAGAGACACAATTCCGTTCTCCTTTCTATCCATTTGCACAGTCTGACCATAGTCTTCTGGTCGTCTCCTTGTTCCGAGTTCCATCACCTCTCCCTGACGCCTGTACTCTTACATCTCACTAATGCCCATCTTTCTGAGGCCGTCGGCGTACCAGGCGGTCGCCAATATTGGGTGGAGTCGACGTGAACCGCAGTCACCGTAACGGAAACCGAGTAGCAAATTTACAGAAGCCTCTGTCAGGTTGGCTCTATTGTTTTCGAACGAGCGGGCTGAAAACAACCAATAGAATATCACCAGGCGTAAGCGTACCCGGCCTGTGCATGTATTGGATCATCCACCCAGTCAGTCTTTGGATTCGGGGGGACATCAAAGCGGGCCTTCTTCTTCTTCGTGGTTCCCATTTCGGATTCTTTGGCTTTCTGCTTGCTGGGTCGACTCGGTGTCTCTATCACCTCCGTCGTTGACTCGTCATCACCTAGGTTCATTGTCAAGTCTCCGGAAAGTGGGGGACGACGCAAGATGCTTTCGAAAACCAGTTGTCCCTCGCGGGTAGACAAATAGCCAGCTTCGAATGCGGTGCTCGAGGTAAAGAGAAACGGACACCGGTCATTGCTGCCATTATGCGTGATGCATCCCGGCAACCAAGCTCCCCAAAAGTCTGGTGATCCGCTCACGTCGATCGGAAGCAGACCGGCCGAGGGAGGCAGGGTATGGTGATACCAAGCATATAGTCTTGGTAGTTTTGACGCTGTCAGGATGATGAGTACATGCGGAAGGTAAGGATGGAAGTGGACTTGACGGATGGAATGCGCAAAAATCAGGACGGCGAGGGGAATTGCGGTTTTGTGTGCATTCCAGATGAACAACGTTCGTGGAGAGGCCCGTAGCCGCGTGGCAAGCAGCGTATGAGTCGAGTTCAATTCTACCAGGACGACTTGGTCGACTTCTTGTGCCGAGGACTGCGAATGAGAGGCATGACGGGGCTGCGAAGATGAGTCGGTGCTAGACAATGTGCTCGCTACCTCGAAAGTTCCCGACTGTCTTGCGAACGTTGGAGAATTCTCGGTCGTGGATTTACCAGACTCCAACCATGCAAATGTTGTTGCACCGTTGATCACGTCTGGATGCACGAGTTTCGTTCGGATACGAGCACCAATACTGTTGGAGGGCTGGTATCTCACAAGCAACTGCTTCTGTCCATTTGCCAGCGCTTGGAGCGTAAGAGCGTTGTTGTGTCTGTTTGCCCTGGTCCAACTCCAGAAGGTGAGACCCACACCCTCGACTTCATTGACGGGAGCAAGATTGAGATCCCTCTGGAATACCGAAGGTTTGATTTCCAGTTGTCTGAGTGTATGGCCCTCGGCGGTCATGAACGAGACTTTAACACCATAGGTAGACGAGTCCCGTACAGCCAGAAGTGGTTGACCAGTCGGGCACCATGTCACGTCCTGGGCATCTGAAGTGTTGCAATCGAAGGATTTGTATATGACTTGATTGTCGTCTCCCAGTTCAAACACCGTCACTCGGTCTTGTGCTTTGTCGCGCCGGAGCAGGGCAAAATACCTGGAATCCGGCGACTTTGCCAGACTTCTCATATCTGGAAACTTGATATGGGGAATTTCATTTCGTTGAGGTCTGGTCAGAGAAAGAACGGCTGCAGTTGAGCCAAACTCAAACATGACTAGTGCGTGTCTGTGGTTGAAGACGAAATCTACGAGACTGGCTGTTCCAAGCTGGCCCCCTAGATTGTAATCCGCAAGGATATTGGACTTTGCGCCCGTCTCATCGTCGATGTCGGACATCATCCTCGGCGCTCTGATGTCTGTGCTTAGAGCAATCAGGCGTTTGGTATCTGACAAAAGCAGCCAGGATCTTCCATAGTCACACTCGGATGATGTGGCGGATCGGATTTCTTCTGCAGTCTCGCTTTCAGGGCTAAGTATGGTCTCCGGTGACCAACGGAGGATGGTGCAACTTCGCAGGAAAGCGCGCTCTGGTCTGGGAAGCTTGAGTCCATGGATGAATCTCCGTCCTTTGGCTGCTTCACACAGATCGATAATATGTATTCGTTCGTCCGGTGCAATAACTGCCAACGATCTGCCGTCGGGCGATAGGATCGGACGCTGCAGGGCTTTCCCGTCACTTTCAATCAGCATGGCGTCCATCAGCGGCAACATTGAGCGAGAAGGGTCTTGGAAGCGACAGACAGCTGTGCGGGAACAGGGTTGACAGGTAGAATATAACGTGGATTTTGAAAATTGTTTGCCATATTGGGATTGGGGATCTCACTGTTTCCACCCAACGCATCCATCAAGCCGTCCCACGGCGGTCGCTTTGTGTTCAACGCGACTTTTTGTTCTAGACAAACGTGCGTCCAACCATATGCTCAAACCATCTTTCAGGGGTGTAGGATCGAGATACACGACGATGGTACCGAGTAGTTGTTGGAGGGTGGGATGGATCGTCCTCCGCAGTCAACAAAAGTGGCTCTGCCCCGCGAGACGCGAAACACGACGAGCGTAGGCGACGCGCTCCGGGAGAAACGCGAAGTCACCTGACATATGTGTCAGCATCCCCCTCCACTTCCTCTCCACTTGTATCTATCAATCCATCCCTTTTTGCCCTTGCATAAATTCTCCAGCTGGTTCAACATGTTTCCCAGTTTCGTGATAGTTTTCCGCAAGCCAAGGTGTAGTACTGCTGACTCTTTTGATGTATCGCCTGGCGCTTGACAACGTCATTGTGCCTCGTTCAGGCCTGCCTCGAGCTGAATTAGAGAAGCTGAGTAAACATCCATCCTGGTACCTGAAGCCCGAAGCCTGAAGCCCGAAAAGTACTGCTCAAGCCTAAGTCCCTGAACCTAGTACAATACAAGAACAGTCTTCCGTGACTTCAAATAATCACACTGGCCAGAGGCATCTCGAGTACGAAAGTGCGAAATGATTATCTTTATGGCTCTTCCACTCATCGCCATCGACCTGATTACTTAACAGCTCCGGCCGCAACATCTACCAATTATGAAGCCACATCTAAAGCTTGAGCCATACATTACCAATTTACTGGGCGCCACTGGCTACGAAATCATGAAATGGCATTCTTTCATTCGTCGACCGAGTCATGGTACTATACGGTTCTCTGATCTTCTGCTATTCGCAACCCAACTTGGTGGAAAACTTGAATGGCGTGGTACGATGTCACAGTGCTTCTGCTTGTGTGATAACAACCTTCCAGAGATCCCGTCTGTACATTGTGCTGACGTCTGGTCATTCCGATATCTCTGCCTCTGGTACGAGATCAGTTACTCATCGTCGATCGCCAGATTTCGTGCACGGGGTCGGGTCAATAGCATTGCCGCCCAACACGGTGTCCAAATATAAAAGGTTGAATACTCCTCCTAATGTCTCAGCTCGTTATCCAAGAGCCGCAGACCTTGTTGATCTAGGACTTTCTCATCTCTCAATTGATATGAACATGAAGACTGTCGTCTTCGTTGGCGCAACCGGCGCCCAAGGGGGTGCCATCATAAAGACCCTTTCTTCCACAAACGAATACAAAATTCTCGCCTTGACACGTAGCACTACATCGCCTGCCGCCCAGGCGATCGCCGGCCTTCCCAATGTCGAGCTTGTCCAAAACAATGCAGGATTCGGGTATGATGTTGACGCATTCTATCAAGCTGCTCTACGATCTGACTACGCTTTTATCAACACCGATGGTTTCGCGCTTGGAGAACAAGCCGAAACCTATTGGGGAATTCGGCTGTTTGAATTGTCTGCCAGAGCTGGCGTGAAACATCTGATCTGGAGCGGCCTAGATTACAATGGCAAGAAGACTGGATATGATCCAAAGTTCTACGTAGGGCATTATGAAGGGAAAGCAAGAGTCACAGGTATGGAACAGCTGCTATTTGACCTCAAGCACGCCCGTCGCTGACTGCCTGAGCCAGAGTGGATGCGTTCTCAGCCGACTAGTCCAATGGCTTGGACCGTTATTGTAAGTCTTTCTGTTCTACGAAGGACATTTTGTCTCGGCAGAGGACATTGTTGCGGCAGCTGACGTGAAGTTGTGTGTAGAATTCGGGACCCTATATTGAGATGCTTTGGGAGCTCCTCCTCCCAGAAAGAGGCAGCGACGATGTTTACAGTTTCAAGCTACCTCTTGGTCAAGGCGCCATTCCCTTTGTCCACCTTGAAGACTTCGGGCGCTATGCTGCGTGGATCTACACCCACGAAGACGAGGCGAACGGCATGGTGCTAGATATCGCTATTGCACATATTTCAGGTTCTGAACTTGTCCGAGCTTTTACGGCTGCAACTGGCAAACGGGCTGAATATGTCGACGAGCCCGTCGCGGAGACCGTTGAAAAGTACTTCAAGTATTTGCCGAAAGGTGTAGACACAAAGGTTGGGATTTCCTCGGTCAAGGACGAAAATGCTCTCCTCATGACGTTTGGTGAGAACTTTACCAATTGGTGGAACCTATATCGGAATAGCGCAGACAACAAAGGAGTGATCCAGCGTGACTACGCTTTGCTGGACCGCATCTTGCCTGACAGAGTCAAGAGTGCCGAAGAGTGGATGAAGAAAGTTGGGTATGATGCCACCAGACGCACAGTCCTCAGATCCAGGGCTTGAGGGCCTTCAGCTTAGAGAGACCAAGGAACGACTTGTCCGAAGGAGGAAGTAGTTAGGGAGACGGCCAGGTTGCGATGATTACAGTTTTCTTTGTAAACAATATCCATTCGCTCTGCTCTCCTTATATGCCTCTGCGTCATTGGTCCCCGCTCCCCCCTAGCTGATGTACCTAGATGTCCGCCTTGGGCACAAGGCTGCCAAGAAACCAGGGGCAGAGTCACGAGACTGGTCCGTGATGGGAAATTTCTTGGCACATTCAACACATTCAACCTGTCAGTCAACATCTCCTTTCGAACGCTCTGCCTCTCACTTCTTAAGAACAGTTATATTGCCACCAATGCAGTCTATCATCGATTTTTCCGCGAATCACATGCTTCTGTATATCTAGACTGTCCAGTAGTACGCTTTCGACCTCGATTTCTTCCAGCCATGCGGGTACCTTTGTTGAGCCGCAAACAGCGTTTGTGCCAATAATGTGCCCCCTTTCTCCCAATCATTGTTTTCGGCTCTCTCACGGCTATAACGGCTCTGCAAGCCCTGCGCATGCGGGAAACATCGCCCTCCAAAGCGGGAGACTTCTGACCTGTGCATTTACAGTATATCGTCTCGACCAGTCACGCAATGTCAGAGACAACATAGCTCATCATGACCTCAGCGTCAACGGGGAATCGTACGCGGCTGTGTGTAGGCACCGTCGGAGCCCACATATCTTACATTGGTCAAAGCGCAGACAATTGGTATGTATTCCGTCAAACTCGGTTCCTTTTCAGCCTTTGATCCGGAACGGGCCATGTCTTCTCTGATCAAACTAGACGCTTTGATCTCAAGGTAGCAATGCCGTGGCATAAGACAGCCATGGAGTTGCGAGTGTCTCTGCAGTGCGATGTTGTGATATACATTCTAGAACATCAACAGCGATGATCTACCTGGAGTCATGCTTGTTGCTGTCGACTTCGAACCGGGCTATTTTGTCGATACTCTTTGTCCTTGCATACTTCGTCCCAAACGAGCTCCAACCCTCTTTTGTTTGCACAAAGACCTCCTATACGTTACATCCTCGACACATCCGCTTGCGGCTGCTGATGTGACGAGGATTTTGCATGATGGGGACCCTAAATAGGGAGCTTCCCTCAGGTCTTCTGAAGAGGCCTCTCGTTTCGTCTTCTCTATATCAAGTCTACAGGTATTCCTAACCTGAGACCATGAATCCAAGTCAAGGCACCCCGGGTCCAAGTGGCCTTGGCTCTGGAGCATCGTCCGGCCCATCTGCCAGTCAAGTTGGGACAAATCCACCTGCACAGTTGCCAGTCATTCGTAGCCTTGCCTTCCAGGAGAATCCTTCCACTCCTCCCGAACCGGAGGACGAGGTGCAAGAAGCGGCGCGCATGACAGCTTTCAGACACCAGGCTGCTTATCCTCATATGTTGTCACGAGATGTTGTGCGAACATGCCTGAAGAACAACGGGTGGGATGTCAACCGTGCCGTGGCGGCATATCGGTGGCAGGGTTTCAGACAGGGAGCAACTACCCCACCCTCTGCGACGACTGGGCCACACATCCGCAATCGGACAACCGTTGAACGAGAGCGACTTCACCAGGTACACGAGATGCAGAGTGCGCTGCGGCAAGGTGACCCGAAATGGACAACTGGCAACCTCGAAATGATGCTGTTACATCACGCCTACAACTTCGTTCCGGAGGATATAGCTGAAGCAATTGCCGAACGCGACGGAAACTACGACGACTTTGAAGACGAGGCTGCCCGGCTGCGCCAGCCCGCAGACAGTCAGTTGGCCTTGGATCAGAGGCTCGCTTTGTTCTTGAATATCTCGGCCACTAACAGCGTTCATTCGGCCCGGCAACTGCTAAACAGTCACCACTGGGATGTTGCTGCCGCCATCGAGGCATGGATGACGGCTGGGAAGGTTCACGTGACATTCCCACCTTTCGACCGAGAGGATGAAAAAGAAGCCGACGATGGCCTGCGGGCTGTCAATGCCAATCGTCCTCCTCAGATCCAAGGAAGCCGCTTTATATATTTTGACCACGACAGCGATAAATTTAATCAGTGGCTGACTAAGAAGCGCAAGCGCGATGTCAACCATAGCGACCTAGAAACCAGTAACCCAGAGACTGCCATCTCAGGAGGCCAACCCGAGGAGCTTTCCACCGTGCTCAGCTCACCTCCCTCTACATTGAAAAAGCGACGGAAGAACGCCGTGGATGAAATGGAGTCGGAAGTGCAGTCCAGACCAGGGCCCGACAACGACTCCAATTCGAGACCTGAAGACTCTGGGCAAGATCCACCAGAGACTCCAAGAAAGCCGACGATCCGAGTCCGAGGTCGGGGCCCAGCACGGTATTGGATCCGTGAAGAATACGAAGACGACGGCGACGTCGGCAAAAGCAACAGTGATGACGAGGATGAGGATGATGTCCCGGGCCGCGATTATATCAGCGGGAACCGTGGCGCGACAGGCAATCCTCGTGGAGCCCTCATCGACCTTGATCGCCGTCCAGCAGTCGTCCACTGTCCAGATCGGACCAAGCTGTATGTCGAGTATATCAAAAAGGGCAAATACAAGTTCGAACGGTTCCAGGGGCAGTCCCGAGGCTCAGGACGAAGGAACGTACCCTTCCGGTGGGATGACATGGATGATGACGAGGTGGAGGAGGTGGAGTTTGATTGGCACAACAAGCGACACATTGCGCAACTGAACCGCTGGAGGAATGACCGGTTTGTCCAGATCACCGGGATCGGTAGGGGCGAACCTAACGGTGGACCATTCAACAAGTACGAGGAGCAATGGCTTGTGGAACAAGAAGGCTCGCGAATTGAGAAGAAGTTCTATGAAAGAGCAGGTCTAGAAGAAACCTCCCCTAAGCAGACAGGGAACCCACCGAATGAAGCATACGAACGGACCAAAGAGCAGTTTGAAAGCGGCAGCAATTTCCCCATCCCGTTGACCTCTGGCGAATGTGAGGATCTCGTGGAGCGTTTCAATGCCGCTTTCTCTGGCAAGCGATTCTTTTCAAAGACCATATACAAGAGCGCGACTTTCCGGTCAATAACAAAGGACATGAGTCGAGTGAGCGACGTGCCTCGGCCGCCGCGGAGCAACCACGAGATCAGGCAGCACAGGTGCCGAATCGCCGCCTACGCCAAACACTTTATGTTGAAGGCCGACAAGGCCAAGTTCACGAACGTCGACGACGAGGATTACTTGAGAAGTGACTCGGACTCGGACTTTGAGCTGGAAAGGGCCGGCGAAGCCGCAGCCATTGCAGCTGGGGGGACCGGGGGCACTGCGAACAGTGGCCAAGCTGATAATCAAATACAGATTGGCACTGGTGGATTCCAGGCTGCCGTTCAACCTGATGCCAACGCTGAACCTCAGAGTGGTAGCGGCGCCGACCCGAGCGCCAACACCATGTACGGAGGCAGCACCATGTACGGAGGCAGCACCATGTACGGAGGCAGCACCATGTACGGAGGCAGCACCATGTACGGGGATAACACTATGTACCAGCCTCCTAACACTCAAGATGAAGAAGGAGACGAAGAAGACTCGGACCTGTATGGAGCATGATGGCGATGACAATGACAATGACGACGTTATTATTGTTGTTATTGTCACATCACCCATGCCCCGAATCTCTGACAGGATTTTGGACAATTGATTGACAATCGAGCTGGGAACCTCTTCCCCCAGTACAAGTCCAAGTGTTGACGCAAGAGAGAATGTGAGACGTCATTCATTACCCAATGAAGGTATGAATGGGGAACTACGATACCGACTTCCTGTCAGTCGTTTCCGTGGCACATTTTGCTTTGTGTTTGCTTGGTTTCTGCCAAATCTTACTACCACTTTGACGGGAGAAAAAAAGAGAAAGGAAAGAAGAAGCCTGTCAATCCTTTCCCAGTGTCGACTGGTCTTGATGGTCAAGGTTGGTAGATAGGTTAGTAGAGAGATGTATGGATGGATAGATAGATATACTGGGTAGTTTACCGTATCGTATCATTTGTCTTCTGCCTCCCATTGATGCCCGTTCCTCTATCAACGTGGTACCTCGCACCGTCGCACCTTTACTTTCCCGAGAACTAGCATTGCCTTGAACTGTCTGTCTCCCACCGACCGACTATCTGATTAACCAGATAGCTGCCTGTCTACCCGGCCTCTGCCCCTGCTGCTCCTCGATCTCAACCGGGTCCTGAGAAAAATGCCGATCCTTGGACGTCCGGCCACGGCGACGGGCCACGTTCAGGCTGTGATGCTACTGCTCGCCGTTCGCGGCCCTTGGCCCGAGGACAATGAGGAAAACGCACAAAGACTCGGCCCTATCGTGTTCGTGTACCCTATCTACTTTGTTAGAATTCCAGAGAACGGCTTTTCGAGCCACTGTTCGCAGTGGACGGAACGTAATAAGTGGGCACGGGGCACTCATCCATAGTCACACTCACCCGGCGAGTGGGAGGGGCACGGAGCGGATTCCTGGGAATAGACTAACTGATAGATTCCTCTGCCATGCTATTAGATAGATAGGTATCTGTCTAGTGTGGTACAGCACATACCCGGCGGCATGAATGTATGTATGTGTATGTATTGGCCAGGATGGACATGTGGTTTGAAAGAACAAGTCACAAGTCAAAGTAAATTTCTTGGCACTGACTCACTCCAAAAGCTCGACCAGAAAAAAAAAAAAAGGGGGCTCGTCAGCCTCGTCAGCCTCATCAGCCTCATCCAGAGATCCATCGACTGACGAATTCATCATTGACACCTCGACACCAGCTGTTTCCAAGATAGATCGATTGCAGAACTGTCCCTCCTTTTCACACAAATTACACGAGCATCCAAAAAAAAAAGTTCTCTCCAAAAAGCATCAACAGCCAGGCGTGCCAAGGTGGTGTAAAGGAGAGAGAGAAGAGAAAAAGACTAAGCTCCGAGCTCGCAGATGTATTATTCACCTGGCGCGAAGGGGGACCATGTCTGGTCATCTACGCAATGTGCAATCGGCGCTCTCGTGCGCAGAGGGGCTAGATGCCGCTGCGCCCCATGGCCAGCGGAATGGGGCGGGGATGCATCTCGAGACAGAACACCTCAAACCCCAACAGCTCTCTGCACACAGCTGAGGAAGACGCGGACAGAGTCGACGGATCCGGCAAATCTCCCAGCCAGCCAGTACAACAACAGGAGACGAACAATGAACTTTGGCGGTTCGGACGAGAAGAACCCAAGAAACAAGAGTTTTGGCCGCATTGGCCGCCGCATCGGGATGGATAACAGAGGAACAAAGAATTTTTTCTTGTTGCAAAATCTTCCATGGTTTTTCTCTCCCAAAAAACCTTGACCGTCTTCGGGAAGGGAATAGATTTCAACAACAATGGCCGTCGTGCTCTCTAAGCAGAAGAAAGGGCACTTGGGAGGGGGTGTGCATGGTGGGTGGGAAGCGAGCACCAGTCCTTCCCCTTTCTTTGATCGCCTGAACCCGGCGAATGCGTTTCCCCTTCCGCTTCTCGTCATGAGCCATACCTTCTCAAACATGGTTACTGTATGTATGTGGGTAGGTATTCCAGACTTGTGCGTGGCTGTTTGTAGGTGAATCTGCTGAGAATCTGTCAAAAGTGTTTCAAAATAACGGATCGAAAAAGTCTTCACTCACCCATGCAAGGCCCGCATGGCCAAGGTTCTGCATCTTCGATGTGGAAGCACTGTGATGGAAGCGAAGCTGATGGCACAAAGACGCTGTCTGAAGACAAAGGTAGGCACCGAGCCACATAAAGACCACTTCAACACGGCGGGTTGGCGAGAACGTGCTTAAAACCCTACAGAGGACTTTCTTCCACTCCCTCAAGTATCTCAACTTAGTCCAGTCGCTTCTTCACACGACCTTACCTACCCCCACCCATATACATATATAACAGACACAAAATGTCCGCTCCTGCAGGTCCTTCTGGAGGTCCGCCCGGATCTGGAGGCCCGCGTGCCTTGACATCAATCGAGCGCAGGAAAGCAGTTAATGCTCTGCGAGACCGGCTCCGACCCAACGTCACCGACCGCACTTTGCTGGAGAGATACCTCGAGACCACAAATTGGGATTCCGATGCTGCCTATAACTTGTGGCAAGCCGATAGGGCCAGGATGCTTGCGGGCGATGACCCACAAGGTTCAGACTCCAGCAGCGAAGACTCTGAAGACGATAGCTCAAGCGACCTAAGTCCCCCCGCCAGTAATGCTGCTGCTGCTGCTGCTGCTTCTCCTGCTTCTCCTGGTTCAGATGCTTCTGATGCTTCGGCGACAAGCGACAATTCCAACAAAAAGAAAACATTCAAGGCTATGCGCGAAAGCCAGATCGGCCCCCGTTTCAACAGCAACTTGGAACAAGAGCGTCGGGGCGCCGCCCTTGCACTTCGTCTGCAGCTTGAATCCGAGGTAGACGACGGAACCACCCTGAGTCCTTCAGAGGCAATCCTCCTTCTCCATGTCAATCTGTGGGATCTTGGCGAGGCGATCGACAGCTTCACAGCGTTGGACGATATTCGCCTGAGATTGAGTGACTATGACCGGATGCGCACGCATCTGCCGTCAGAGGTTGACCCCGAAGAGGTTGACATCACAAGAGAACAAGATGAACGGCTGGCCGAGTTCATGAACATCACAGGGCGACCTGACTGGTGGTCCCTTCGTGTGCTGTTGCAGGAGCAGAACTGGAATTTGATCGAGGCCATTTCGTTCTGGTTTTTGCGTGGAGTGCCTCCGGTTCACCCGTCCAAGAAGGAGGTGAAAAGATCCACCAAAGCAGATCCCAAGGGAAATAAAATAAGCTTCGGCATCCGTGTCGGCGTCAACGAGACGTCGTTGAAATGGCCCAAGCCCGAACAATGCGAAGCTCCAGCAGCGATTTTCATGGACGAGAAGTGGGGTGTAGAACCAGATCAGTATACGCCAGAAGAAGTCTCCGACACGCAGGAGGACGAGGAGAAGAAGGGCCAGGGCAAAGGCAAAGGCAAAAAGGCCAAGAAGCCCAGAAAGGGCAACAAGCCCAATAGTGCTGAAGGCTTCCTCATCAGCGTCGATGGTGATCCTGTCGAAAGAGCGTACAAAGGTTTTCCGAATCCGGCCAAATTCCTCGTCGAGCACATCTCCAAGGGCAAGTATACCTTCAAGCGCTTCAGACAGTTGAAAAAGTTCCAATGGCCAGACCTCGAAAAGCCAAAGGCGACACGGTCTCAGTCGGGCCGCGTAGATTTTGACTGGAACAACTCGTCCCATATCCAGCTGCTGAACAATTGGCGTCGACAGGCAGTTGGCAGAACAACCAAAGCCTCCAGGCAGGATCCCGGTCAACCATGGTCCAAGGAGGAAGACGATTATCTGATCAAGTTGTCCGAGGACCTCGCCAACGAGAAGAAGAAAAAGTCCACCAAAGCGTCCAAAGAGAAGAGATTGATAGTCTCTACCAAGACGAAGGAGGAGTGGGCAGAAAAGTTCAACAAGAAATTCACTGGCACGGTTCAGGCAGGGTCAACAGAACCACGCGTTGACCGGACAATAGCGGCGCTGATGCAACGCAGATGCCGCATCAAGGAGCTTGTCGACCGCTTCAAGGTCAAAGCAGACCAGAAGTGGTTTGCGAAAATAGAGCAGAAGGCCGACAAGAAGCGCAAGCGCTCCGACGTGTCTGATGACGAAGACGCAGCCCCATCCAAAAAGACCAAAGCTGACAAAGTCGCTGATGGCGCGGAAGACGCCGAGGACGTCGAAGAGTCAGATGGCGGCGAGGAGGTTCCCATGGACATTTCCTCGGGCGAGGATGCTGAAGAATCAGATAGTGATGGGCAGGACGCTCCCATGGATCTATCGGACTGACCTAAGAAGCGGAGATGGGAAGAGTGGCCTGTTTGCTGACGCACAGATTTCATTTCACGACGAGAGGGAGCCGGTTGCGCATCGGCGACCACACCGGTGCGGGATTGTAAGAGATGATAAAGACAAGTCGATCTGCTGTTGTCACAGATTTTTGCCTGTTTGGGATTTGTTTCGTATCGATAGTATGGAGTTTCTTTGGAATTTTGCTCGCTCATTGCGCACCAGATCTGGCTGTCCGTACCGAAACCAGGTCAACGACGACGTATAATTGAACAATTCAGATGTTGTACAGATGATTAATGCTGCAGTGAGCCATTTCACCGCATTCTGTGAAGACAACCATGCTCAGCCGAAAACCAGTGTAGGCTTAGCGAGTTCTTTCGTAGTGCTGTGCAATGACAGATCAGGTGTCTCGGCGACATCGATTGACCGGCTTGCATTGTCCTCGTTGCCTGCGACTTCCCTCGAGCCCTCCTTGGATGTCCCCTTGATCGGTTGCATGGCACCCATCTTGACAGCGTCGTCTGGTAGCGGCCGGACATAGGGCTGACAGACCCACCACGGCCTCCGATATTTCATCCTGGTTTTCTCTGTGGGTGTCAGTTCCTTCTCGTGTAGCTGCTCTACTTCGCCTTCAGCTGCAGGTTTGTGTTCGACCTCGGGTAACGCTGTATATTCATCGAGGCCCATCTTAACCGCCGCTTCCACCATGGCAAGAACTCCCTCGAAGCTATCCATGTCTCCGCATCGTGTTTGTGCCAACGCATCTCGGATGTTGGTGTGCGTCGAAACCAGGGGACGAAGGAGTTGGAACAGGTGTCCTTGCATTGGCCTCAGACTCGGATCAAACCTTTGCTTGGGCAAACGTTTTTGTCTTTTTCTCGGTGGAAGCTCAGCATCGATCGCTTCGGTTTTCTGACGCGTCTCTTCGGGATCACCGGGGACATAAAGAGGCTTGCGCACGGGTGGTTCTCTGCCCAAGACATGGCGATGGATGATGTCAAGATATCTTCTGAACACGGCGTCCACACGGTAGCCCCCTTTCCCATCCGGCCCGTACCAGTACTCTCGGGGGTTGTATTCTTTGGGCGGGTCGGCAAAAATTGTGGGATCACATATATTGCCTTCTGCACTCATGACACCATCAGCCCCAGTAGCTACTAGGCATGATTCTAGGTCGCCTGAATTCAGAATGTTCCCGTTCGCAAAGATGACCGTCTCTGGCGGTAGCTGTTCCCGGAGGTATCGAATCATTTGCCAGTCCGCGAGACCAGTATTGTGGCCCTTCTGTTCTCTCCGTCTCCCGTGCACTGTCAATATGCTGGCGCCGGCGGAGAGAATCATCTTTGCATACTCCAGAGTTTTCTCCTTGGTGTCCAGAATCCTCATCTTGGCCGTCACAGGAACCGAGAGCTCATTATGTAATTTGTTGATCATCTTGTAGATTGTGTCCCAGTCTTCTTGCAGAAAAGCTCCATAGCGCCCATTCCTGGCAATGCCCTGCGGACATCCCAAATTCAAGTCAACCGCGTCACAGTAAGGGGCCACATATTGTGCCGCCTCGAGCAGATCTTCGGGCTTATTGGCGCAAAACTGTACGAACAACGGTCGGTCCAAAGTCGGATTGCCATCAAGCCATAGCGACGCTGAGGCTCTCTCCTTGGAAACCAGACTGCTTTTGGTGGGCTGGAAGTGTTCGTCTCGAAATCTTGCTGTTTCTCGGAACAATCTCGCGTGCAGCATAGGCGTATACGCTAGAAAGGACTTTGAGCGCTCTTTATCGAGGTAGGACCGCGTGAGGAGTCTCCAAGCCTGGAGAACAAGTCAACACATCTGGTGAAGCGGCGAGCATGGAGGGAGAACGGACGAACTCTGAGCGATCAACCATAGGAGCCATTATGTATTTTGGGCTGCCGATGCTTTCGTAGAAGGCCCTGCCTGTCAGCTTTGACGGCGACGACATATGGCCTACGCCAGCGGCCGCCGTCTCTGCCATGACCTTGAACGGAGAAATATGTCTCTGGATCTGTTGGTATAGGTCTACTACCGACTGGAGGACTGGCCTAGACATGGGCAGTCTCTAAGGAAAGGTGTGCTAGGAGAGCATCGTACTACACAGTAAAGAAGGGCATCAGTAGTCTTGGGGAGCCATGCAGGCGAAAGAGAGTGACAGAATAATAAATATGGCATTGCGCAGCGGGCAAACCAAAAAAATAGTGAATGGCGCTTGACAGCCAGATACTTTGACGTAGTGACTGCTACGGTGCACTTTAGGGTCCCTCTTACGCAGCTTACTCCGTACAGCCTCGCATCTACAATATTCCTTGTTCAAGACAACACCATACTCTGAAAAGGCACACCCCATGTTGTCCCGAGGAATAATCGCCCTCGACAAATCTCTACGGTCCATCCGGCGCGCACCCGGTCCCGTTGCCACTGACAGCGGAATGTATGGGTGACTGTATGCGAGCTTAGCTTTTCCTTGCAACCCATCGCGCACACATTGACTTCCACCCGGAAAGCCAGATACAAGATCGCTTCGACTATTGCGGTAGGAGACTGACACCGCCATCCTCGGAATTAACATCCACCGTCTCATCGTCCTCTTTCAAGCCACTGCCGAAGATCTTGTCGATTCGCTTTTCGCGGTCCCAGACAATCTCAGCCTCCCCATTCTCAGACACCCGTTTGAAGTATTTAATGCGATGCTGGGGAATCCAGTCTTCCTCGGTGACCTCGGAGATCCAATGGGTCGCGGCGAGTTCCTTGATACCGGCGAACCGTTCCAGATAGCCAATGATGTATCTTGACATGTCAAGATCAGTATCCCATTGGAGCCGCTTGAGGACATCTACGAAGCATTCGTCAGTATGCCAGCCTCTCGAAGGTCGTGTGGGGGTGATGTGTGCGCGCCGTACCTTGGGCTGATCTCATTTTGGGGACTGACACCTCGATGGGCGTATTTGGCATTCCCTGCTTCCCCTGCTTCTTGTGCTTCGAATAGTGCTCCAGCTCTTGTATCCTCTTCACTTCGTCCTTTTCCTCTTGCAGTCTTTCTTCCTCGATATCTTTGAGGTGCTTTTCCGCGACACCTCTTAAACGACCTATCAAATCTGAAGATTGGCTCGGCGTTGCGTCCCCTAGACGGTCGTTTCCCGCCATCAGGTACAATATCTTGACTCGGCCGATTAAGTAGTTGATGAAAGGGGACGAGGATCTGGTAATGCCATCCTCATATTGTTTGTTCTTTCTTGCTGATGTCAAAGGAATCTTGCTGTGGCGCAGCACCGCTCGTGCCGATTCCCATACAATGACTCACCCTGTTAAATTGAGTCCCTCTCATCGAGAGAAGCTCGTGGGATAGCCATGCTCATTTCCGGGGCGAAGGAAGTCTATGGTCGAAGCGAGGCTCTCGCCCCCGAAATCTGAGTCATTGCAGGCACGAGGCGTTCCGACTGGGGAGTCAAATCACCCGTTGAGGAAACTTGTGAGTCCCATCATATTATGAGCCAGACTTCAATCACGATCACTGGGATCGAACCTGTTATCATACATGCTTGAGAGTTGCTGGTTACTTCAGAGAACTGGAGGTTGTGGGGGACAAAGACCGAACATTCTTTTCCGAGAGTTCGCCGTGGAACTTCGGCTACGTACCATTCGAAAAGCCGATTTAGTCATGATCATCATCCCTTCATCCCTGAATGACTCCCAGTCATGGACGATACCATGTCCAACCAACATGTCGAGAAACTTGACTCCGAAGCCAACTTGAGATTATGACCCTTGGTCGCGGTGGCAGTGGCTCCTCCACCATAGGACGATGCTTGAAAGCGAATATCCCCAGCTTGCGACGCAGCTTGAGCCAATTTCGTGTGATTGAACACGAAGTGCGGGCCCAACATACGCGGCACTGGCCGAGGGGATCAGAAGTTGGCTACGAAAACAGCTTGAGGCTCGCTGTCAAGCAATACGTTCCTCATGAGCGGAGGGATCCGGCACCCGACGATATCACTTTCATCGCGGCACATGCCAATGGATTTCCCAAGGTTAGTGCTCTCTTGGTTCCACCGCTCACCGCGCCAGTCGAGGGTTCATATGCCTAATTCTATCATCAGGAGCTATATGAGCCTCTGTTCGAGGACCTATATACGAAACTAAGATCCTTGGGGAGAGGTATCCGAGGAATATGGATTGCCGACCTGGCCCATCAGGGCCAGAGTCACGCCCTCAATGAAAAAGCTCTGGGCAATGATCGTACGTCTGGGACCTGGTCTAATTACGGGATCGCTAATGTGTTGCAGCGAACTGGTGGGATGGTGCTAGAGATCTTCTCTTTCTGATAAACCAGAAGCAAGACGAGCTGCCTCAACCACTCTTAGGGATTGGGCACAGCATGGGGGCGTCGCAATTGTATGTTCTACTCGCCAATTTGAAAGTACATACATTGACTATGATATAGGACACAGCTTGCACTTCTTCGCCCCAGGTTGTTGCAGGCTCTCATTCTGGTTGATCCGGTCATACAAACCGAGAATCCAAGCAAAACATTCGCTAAGCCGTCCACCTACCGTCGAGATATCTGGCCATCCCGTCAAGAAGCACGGGAAAAGTTCGCGAGCAGCAAGTTCTATCAGCGCTGGGATCCGAGGGTCTTTGAGAAGTGGGTGCAATATGGTCTACGGGACTTACCCACGGAACTCTACCCAGAGAGAAGTGAGGGTAAAGAACCACAGGTGACTTTAACTACACCCAAATCTCAAGAGGTCTTCTCTTATCTAAGACCAAAATATAACGGTACTCCCGGAATTCCACCAGAGAGGGATCGGGCGGTGTATGGGGATATGCACCCGGAGGATGTGGAGGAGGGATATCCCTTCTATCGACCTGAACCCGCCGAAATCTTCCGCCGTCTTCCCGAGCTGAAGCCACCTGTTTTGTACATATTCGGAGACCAGTCTGAGCTCGCAACGCCAGAGCTTCGGCGGAAGAAGATGGCGAGTACTGGTGTCGGGGTGGGTGGGAGTGGAGGTCAAGCCGAGGATCGAGTCAAAGAGGTCGTTTTGGCGGACTGTGGGCACTTGGTCCCTATGTTGAAAGTCGGCGAGTGTGCTGATGCTGCAGCCTCGTTCGCAAATGCTGAAGTGACTCGTTGGGAGCAGATGACGAAGGAGTGGCAGCAGCGTTGGCTCCAACGATCTAGGAGTGAGAGAGTCGGTATTGACGAGGAATGGAAGAAGATGATTGGTCCGAGGGATACATAGTAACCAGTGAAATAAAGGGTGGTACCAATGAAACCGAGTCCTAACAGCCAATTGTAGACACATCCCTAGGATGAGGCAGCCTTGAGTGAGTGGCAGCCTTGCGGTTTCCCCGCCAAGCCAACCAGAGCAGGCAGTTTCGGAAAATAGATATTCCGAAATTACCAGCCACCCGCCGCTCTTCCGTGTCCTTTCAAGTTTTGCACCTTCGAGATGTCCCGCCTCACCATAGTTCCAGTACACGACCGCATTGCAGCATCAACCGCGCTTTTCGAATCGCGTAAGCCATCATGGTATTATTGACCACCGTCGCAGAATGGGCGCACGATTTTGACTCTCGAACAGGTTTACAGCTGGGATCCTCACCGAGATGTACTGTACAAGCTCTACATCGAGGACAGAAAGGTACGTTAAACCAACTCATTACTCGTCGCCGCAACCCCAGTCGCGCACGGCTAACCAGATTCAGTCCCTCGAGGAGATTATGCAGTACATGCGCGATGCCGCCAACTTCACTCCCTCCAAGCGCGCCTTTCAGACACAATTCAAGAGATGGGGATTTCCGTCGAAGCGCAAGCCATCTTTCCGCGACGAGGATCTGGTTGATCGCGTGAGGCAACTATGGGAGGCAAACTACAGTCAACGCAATATGCTACACACTCTTCAGGCCGAAGGTCACGATATCAAGGAACGCGAACTGATGAGACTGCGCGCGAAAAATCGCTGGCTCATGCGCATTCCGAACGGTGCCAAGCAGACACCCGGCGATGACCCGGAAGCACAGTTAATAGAGGCTGCGAAGGATGATGAAAACATGGCCCAATCAGACCAACAACACGTTACCGAAGAGCCACCACCAGATTTCGTGGAGCGTCAGAAGGAAAGACTTCAAGAACTTCAAGCCATCAGCGACCAACGCTGGAGAGACAAGAAACGCCGTCGTCGAACCAAAGGGTATGCAGGTCTGCCACCTGATCCCGCGGGCATGCCACCACGATTCCCCTCCGAGACTACGCTTGAAGAAAGCCGAGAAATATTGAATCTCGATGCGAGACAATACCGTGCCATTCGCGATCAGTTCCAAGGGATTTGTGAGGAGGAGCAAATCATGCAAAAGACGGTTGCTGGGGCGGAGAAGTGGCAAGCCGTCAAAGATCGCCTGGTTCGTGAGAATACCCTGTTACAGGCCGTGATGTGGCAGGACACCAGCAATCTTCAATCCAAAGAACTTGCCCTGGACGTCATCTGCACCGATGTTACGAAGCGCATCCGGACGCTGGGTCGTAGATTGACCATCCTGGAGTCTAAGAAGGTGCTGGGCTTGAACCCTGATCAAAGTCGACAGATTCGTGGCGAGTTCTACGAGATCCTCGAGTCGGAGTATTACACGAGTAAGCTCGAGATGGGACCGGCAAAGTGGAAGGAACTCAAAGATCGTTGGGTCGCCAACAATTCATATCTCCAGAGCATCCTCGCAGCGGGCGACGCCGACCCGGAGCATAACCGAAAGCTAGCGGCCATGGAGCTGTTGTGTCGAGATGTGATGAAACGCGTGCGAGATGACCGGGCAAAGAAGAAGGGCACTTTCAGGAAAAAGTCCGTTCAACCCTTGACGCCTGCAGCAGACACTGCAGACACTGCAGACACTGCGCCTCTACCACCTTCGCCACCAGTCGCTCCCGCACCAGCCTCTGCCAGTAGCGCATATCGAGACGCCCTGCCTGCAAATCCATTTGGTGAAGCACCGCCCCCGGCACCGCAGAATGATCTGTCAGACTTGCAAATCGACCCCAACTTGTTGCAGGTGGCGGACCATCTAGGCACCCCACAAGTCTCGAGGCGAACGCCGGTATTTGTCCGTCCACATCCCAACTCGACCATGTACACGAGCACGAAACTCTCTCTCGGGTCTTTAAATGGTCAAACTGTTCAGGAGCTTCATGCCATGCTCGAAGAAATGTACCCCCATGCAAAAGCGGAGCAGATCAATGGTATCGACAAAGATGGCGCAGGCAAGGAGATTTCCTATCTCATTGAGGAAAATGATGAATTAGAGGCGTATCTCGACCACGTCCAAGGACGCAAGGCTATGTTTGTGGTGGAGCTCAAGAGAGCTTGACTTTTCTCATTTCAGAGCCCAGATTGGTTCCTTGATGGAGAGGTCTTCCTCCACATCGACTGGGTACTCTTCGCATTGTTTGCTCGAAACTTGTCTTAACAACAGTCACTTTTTCTTGGTGGAAGGCGAGGCAAGGCATTTTCGACGTTTGGAGCTTTCGGCGATGGCATGTTCGACACCTCTCCGGTCACTGTGACGATTGGAGGCAGTCTGCGATGGAGCGATTTGCCCGAGAAAGGTTTTGTGTATGATATGACATTACTGACCTGGGATTCATGAACAAAATTCACGAGCGAGGGCTAAAGCTGGTTGCATGGCTGCATGGCTGCATGGCTACGCTGCAGATATGCAAATGGTGCATAAGATTGCATAATTCGCAGACAGTCGCGCGGTGTTTGTGATAATATTTGGTAGAAGTGGTCCACAAACAGAGCCGCAACAATGCTACACACACAGTATCAGCCATCGTTCACTTGTCAACCTTCACTCTTCACCCTTCACCTTACATCCGCCACCATGAAGCAGGTTGTTCGTCCGAACACATATCCCACTTCTTAACGCCGTGCATTATATCCCCATCTCCATCCCAAATTTGTCCCCACATGAAAGGGTCGAATGTGAACTCGGCGAACTTTGCTTGATCCTGCCTCGGCAATCCATCCACTCATAGCGAGCCCTGCGCCCAGCAAGATTCTCGTCTCGTGCATTATTCTGCCTTTATTTCTACCTTTGGGTATCCGTGGTACCGGGGCATCTTCCTGCCTCGGTAGGTGCCAGTAGGTAGTATGGACCCATCATCGAGCGGCCGCGTGCGGGGCATGGATGATATTTGGGAGGCGTAAACGGGGACAAACCGACTCTGAAAGAGGTGGCACGGGGAAGATTTCTGACATGGACAAGATAAGCACCAGTCGACTGCAGGAATAAAAAAAAAGGCGAGTTGGGCCAGGAGGGGAAGGTGAAAAACCATCCGCTCTGCCTCTGCTTCTGCCGCTCTTCTCTCTCACTCGCCTCGCAGTCCGCAAGGAAAAGACCAAAGCAGATCAAGATCCAATTGTCAGTCTCGCGCCAGCTATGGCTCCCTCTAAAGTAGACACCATCTCCTTCGACACTTTCTCCAATGTCATCAACGGTCAACTTCGCAGCTCAAAAACAAAATACCAGGGTATCGACCCGACCACCAAGCAGCCCAACTGGGACGTCCCTGTGGCTACCCTCGAGGATATTGAGGATGCCGTTGCCGCCGCCAACAAGGCGTTTGCCGAGTGGAAGAACACGACATGGGAATACCGCGTCGAACGCCTTGCCCGCCTCAAGGAAGCCTTCGAGGTCTATCAGGAGGAGTTCACCAACCTGCTCCTCAAGGAGACAGGTAAGCCACGGGGTATTGGTGCCTACGAGGTGCAGGCCTGCTCCGCCTACATTGACTGGCATATGAAGTTGAAGGAGCCCAAGGGTGAAACGGAAGACCTTCCCACTAGAACCGTCGTCCACAAGTTTGTCCCGCTGGGTGTCGCAGCCGCCATTTGCCCCTGGAATTTCCCTCTGGTGCTCAGTCTGGGCAAAGTATTGCCGGCCGTGCTGATGGGAAACGCCGTCATCGTGAAGCCTAGTCCCTTTACTCCGTAGGTCCCACGACATTAGATGTCTCGATTGTCCGCCCAGCAATCTCAAGAGCTGACGTTGAGGACAACAGATACACTGCTCTGAAGATGGCTGAAGTCGCCAACCAGGTCTTCCCTCCCGGCCTCGTTCAGGCGTTGGGCGGTGACGACAAACTCGGCCCGGCTCTCGTCGAGCATCCCGACATCCACAAGATCAGCTTCACCGGCTCAATCGCCACCGGCAAGAAGGTCATGGCAGGTGCAGCGAAGACGGTCAAGCGAGTCACCCTAGAGATGGGTGGCAATGACCCGTCGATCGTGCTCCCCGATGCCAACATTGCCAAAGTGGCCCCGATGGTTGCCATGGTATATGATTCCTCAAAACGCATGTTCGATTCTTGTTCACAACGGACTGACTTTTTCGTGTAGGGTGCATTCATGAACACTGCCCAAGTCTGCATAGCCGTCAAGCGCATCTATGTGCATTCGTCCATGTACGACGAATTCCTGGCCGCGCTCGTCACGGCGACCAAGAACCTCAAAGTTGGCAACTCCAACGACGAAGGCGTCATGCTGGGCCCCGTCCAGAACGGCATGCAGTACGAAAAGGTCAAGACCTTTTTCAAGGACACCAAGGAGCACGGCTACAAGTTCGCCCTCGGGTCCGGCGACGTGCCCGACAACCAGGGCTTCTTCATCCAGCCCACCATCGTCGACAACCCGCCCGATGACAGCATGATTGTGAAGGAAGAACCTTTTGGCCCCATTGTGCCCGTGCAGAAGTACGACGACCTGGACGAGGTGATTCAGCGCGCCAACAAGTTCAAGGTCGGTTTGGGCGCCACCATCTTCGGCACCGACCCCAAGAAGCTGCAGGAGGTCGCCGACAAGCTGGACGCTGGGTCCGTCTGGATCAACACGCCCCCCGGATCCGGGCCTGAGGCTCAGTTCGGCGGTGTCAAGGAGAGCGGTATCGGCACCGAGTTCGGCACCTTGGGTATTTTGGCCTACGCCAACGTCAAGGCCATCACGACGGCGAAGGACGTGTAGATCTCGAGGAGAAAAATGAAGTTGACGAGCAGTCAGGGGATACAAGGGGGGACGAGCACGGACTTTTGTATATGAGATGGACAGGTAGATTACCTACCGACCTCCTGAAATAAAGATCACCGAAGAATGACAGAATGACACGTTCAGAGTGCCCGTTTCCCTGTTCGTACATTCCTGCAACTTCACACCTCTGTTTGTCTGGAGGAGAATAACAATCTGACAAGTCCAGCCTGGGCAGGGCATTTGACAGGAATGATGTGCTACCAATTGATTGCACCTCCCAGCACAGCACAAGCGAGTCTCGAGGCCACTTCATAATTTCGAATTCCCCCTCCTCCCCCTCCCTGCCGTCGCACCACTCCTGCCCGTCCCGTCCTCATTCCCATCCTCATCGCTGACCGGATCCCTGTCCGACGTCTCAGCCTTGAGACTGACGGGATCGCCCAACATCGAGCGATTCCCTTTTTTTGCCTCATTCAGATCCTGCTCTGCGCGCTGCTTGAGGCTCTGGGTGCTGCCGCCCTGGTCTTTTTGCTCTGTGGGCGAGGTGTCTGATTGTTCGGCCTTGAGGGAGACCGGGTCGCCCAGGGCCGTGGGATTGGATATAACGGCGTCTTTGAGAGATGGGTCACGAGCCATTTTCGTTGGAGGATAGGCTAGCAGGCCGTGTTGACACGACTCGATACGAAAATTCAAGTCGCCGGACAGGGAATGAGGATGGATGTATAGATGGACAGGACAACAGTTCGCTGCTCTTTCGATATTCTACTTCCACTTCCACGGGGAATGGAAAACTCGATAGGGGATGTAAAGGGCTATGAACTGTCCAAGACACTGCCTCATTCTGGAAGTCGAACTCACATGTGAACCTGAACTGTCGTTCCTCGTACTGACGTCTTCCATCTGGTCGATGACCTCAAGAAGACGGATCCGACTGGACGGCCTGAGAATGGGTTTACCTGTTAAGCTTTTGGGCTGGCGATTGCCCGCCCCGTGGTAAATGCTGTCAAAGGCTCCGATTGTGGCCATGAGGATATTTGAATCTGTACAGTGAAAGCTGCCTCGCGACATGGCATTGGGCGCAGATCGGAGACAGAAAACGCGACGGCGCGATTGAGGGGCAGATTTCAAATGACGTGATAGAACACCTTTCATGTCCGTCACGTGGTCACGTGGAATTCTAGCAGCGACAAGCCACGTGCATCATAGTGCCAAGCATCTGAACACCCTTCCGCTGTCTGAGTCCTCTTGTATCGTCAAGATCGATCCCCTTCCTTCTGCCTTCTGAATTGTCCTCGAGAGGTTTGATTACTTTAAAACTCTGCGCCTGTGACTCGTCTACTATTTTGTGGACGTACCACGGTAAAGGAACTGAAGCCCATAGACCTATGGCTCCAGCACGCTCTCAGTCTGGCTGTGCTTCCTGTTGGGCCATTGGTTTGGCTGCATCCCGCAGTCATGGCAGACCTCGGCGATCTCTTACTTCTTCTCTGCTTGAGGCACTCTTTGGGCTTCTCTATGAACTGCATGACCTGCATCTCGATGAGATAGCTGATTTATGCTTGGTTGAGTATGCGGTTCCGACAGTTCTCACCGAGCATGAGATTGGAGAGGATTTTCTGCTGGGGCCCGTTGTCTAACAAGGGGATCGAGACTGAAGAAAGTTGCCCAGTTCTTGTCATTTCACACTCAGTCCTTCTATTGTTGTGAGTTTTTCTTGAGACCAATGGTTCGCACGTTGCTGCGGTATGTGGCTGCTACCACATTACGGCGAAGCTGATCACCTCGCTCTTTGCCTCTGCTCTGTCAAGATGACTGAGAATACCACGAACCAAGAATGGGCAAATGGGCACACCCTTTCAAGCATGAGCCACAGGGCTGTATACCAAAAATAGGATTCAAAAATTCCTACTATATAACTCGAATGACTTGTTCCCTGCTGCTATTTCAGGGTGCGCTACGTGCTGTTGCTGTTTTCACAGACTGTCACAAGCAACACCCATTTTCACCTTATCAGACCCAGGTCAGTTGGGCCAACATACACATGCTGAAGGATTCGCAATGCATTACGGTATAACCTTTCGCTACAATTCCGCATTGTTGTTCCACAAGCTCACTAGGCCAAGTCTCTCCCCATTTCAGCCTCTCCTTGACTTGGCCAATAACGCAGATTTTTTTACGAATAACTCACAAACCCCGCCACGCCTGGGAAATCGAGTTGTCAATCCGAGGTTCGCCAGCTTGTTCTGCAGACGCTCCACCTGCAATCTTGATACAGTGTTTGCACCCAGTTTCAATTTCGATCCAGTCATGAACTCCACGTTGCAGGATGTCCGGAGGCTTTGA